CCTTTGTTGCTATCGCATGTCCTTTTGCTGTTCTGGGATTTTATCGAGGCTAGCACATTTATTGATCGAGTCTTCTTAGGTGCCCTTTGGTTTGTTTCTTAGACTTTCCTTGTGTTTTGGTGACCTTGACAATTTTGAAGAGTACTGGTTGGGTATTTTGTAGAATGTCCTCCTTCAATTGGGATTTGTCAAATATGTTTCTCATGATTACACTGAGGTTATGTATTTCGGAGAAAAAGATCAAAAAGTATCATTCTTGTTGCATCATACCAAGGGCACATACTATCAATTTGCCTTGTCCTTGGTGTTAACCTTGATCACCTGGTCAGGTTTCTCCACTGTCAAGTTATTCCTTTTTTCCCTTTTTATACTATACTCTGAAAGGAAGTCACTGTGCATAGGCCATGCTTAAGGAGGGAGGTAAATTTCACCTTCTAGAGCAGGCGTCCTCAAACTATGGCCCACTGGTTGTTTTTGCCACCGCTGCCCGTCTTGCTTAGTGGCCGACTCGTCCTGGGCCCACAGTGCACACTCTCCAATGGTCTGAAGGACAGTGAACTGGCCCCCTGTTTAAAAAGTTTGAGGACCTCTGTTCTAGAGAGTGAGGATCTACACACATTATTTGAAACTCTTCTGCATAGAATATTTGTCTATTCTTTCCATATATTTATTTATCCAATCATTTATTTATATCCATATGCATTAATGGATATTTATTGTATACTTTGAGCTAATACTTTGAGGTAATAATCAAATACTATTTATATGTTTGTTATTCAAAGTATTCTACTTTTGTCCTCATGGATTCTTTTAGTTGGCTGTGTTCCTTTGACATATCCCATCATTGTATTTTTTTAGAAATGATTGCTTACTTTTTGACGTTACAAGAAGCTCCAGGCTCATCTTGTATATTCCCTGCCCTAGTTATAGAATCAATTCTATAAACATTTCACCAATAAGTCCAGGTACATTATTTTGGAGAATGATAAGAGAAACCAAGGTCTGAACACTAGAGGTACTCAATTTTTCTAGATTACTATTGCTTCTAGGTGCTAAATGGAGGAAAAATAAAATCTTTAAAAAATTTCTTCTTGATCTTAATTGATCTTATAAGTAAATCTTTGTCTAAATAATAATACCAATGTATGAGTTTATAGCATGTGGATAACTGAAATTCATGACAGTAAAAGACAGTAGAAAGGAATGGGAAATATTTTAATGTAAGGTACCCACACTACTTATGAAGCAGTATAGTGTCATTTGATAGCAGACATTGATTAGTTGTAAATGTATATTGCAAACTCAGGCACAAGGATAAAAATTTGTGACATATAATTCATATGCTAAGAAATTATAAAACTGGAATAATATAAACTATTAAATTAAAATTTGAGAATTCATAAAAAATGGGGAAAAACAAAAAAGTGTAACAGAAAACAGTTACAAATATGGTAGATATTAACTCTACTATATTAATAATTTTAAATGTAAATAGTTTACAATAATTAAAAGAGATGATCATACTGGCTTAAAAAACATGAATCAACTCTATGTCATCTTTAAAAATGTATTTTAAATTTAAAATAACAGATAGGTTAAATATAAAGAAATGGAGTAAAATATGCCATGCTAATGCTAAAGTTAATGTGGTAGTATGTAAGAAATCCTAAAAAAAAAGAAAACAGACATCAAGTAAAAGCCGAGGAAGTCTGAACAAAGTATTACTGTTTGTTAACAATAACATAGCAATTTTGGGTCATTAATTTTAACAGATATACCATATTGATGAAAGATGTCAAAAAATAACAGAGACTGCTTATAGTGTACATGGGGACTTTCTGCTCTTCTTGGCAGCTTGTCTGTAATCTAAACCTACTCTCACATAAAATGTTTATTGAAAAATACTGCCATAAAGGTAGCTCCTTAAATGATTTCCAATAATCAGTACCATATAAGTTCAGCTTTTATGTCTGATAATAACACCTTTATTATAAATATATCATGTTGTATTTTAAATGGACTTTTATTTTTTACTATAAATCTCATTATTTTTTTAAAAAAACATAGTATTTTAAAACCAAAATTCACATAGAAAATTATGTTCTTTACTTCACTAAAAACTAATTGTGATGCACATGGAGTTGGGATGCATCTGAACTGAAAGGCACAGCTAAATCCTAGTCTTGTGATTAACACAAAGCCATAAGTTCAAATCTGGCAATAACCACAACGTTGTCAGGTTATTTTTTATTTAAGTGATACAAATTTTTAAGAATTAAGAGACTAAGAACTCAAAATTTGATAGTATAATGAGCAACAGACATGAAAAGCAGTCCACTAAAATGAGTAACAACAACAAATTTTCTCATATATATGGGAAAAAGTGCAGACTCACTCATAGTTACAGAAATGCAAATTAATAAGAACATTGAGACGTCATTTCTTACCTGTTGGACTGGAAAAATTTTTTTAAATGACAATATATTCTGTTGTTGAGGCTGTGAGGAAGGTGGCAAATTTAAATGTAAAGGAATAGAGTAAAATATTCAATGCTAATGCTAAATGTAATGTGGTATTATGTGTGAAATCCTAGAACAATAAAAGGACAGCTAGTAAAAACTGAGGAAGTCTAAATAAATTACTAATCATGTTTTACCTGTGGATATGAACACTGACACAACATTTCTGGAGTAAGATTTGGCTAACCCTAACCCTACCCCTACATATGTGCTTACATTTTCAATCATTAATCCTACTACTAAGGACCTACCCTGAGACTGTACCTCCACTAATACAAAAACACATATGCATAAGTTTTCTCTTTATAATGTTGTTTGTAATTGCAATATACTGGAAATAACCAAAATATCAAATGCATAAAGGAGCAGTTGAATAAATGTAGGTATACCCACACAATGGAGAACTATGCAACTGTAAAAATGACTGAGGAAGATATTAATGAGTTTCTATGAAGTGATGTCCAGAATATGCTGTTGTGAGGCAAAGCAAAATGCAGTGTCTGTAATATGCTATCCTTCATATGATAAAGAAAAGGGTATATCTGAAAAAAAAATGCAGGAAGAAAAAACCTAAAAATAAAATGATTGCTTATATGAAGGGGGAAGTGGGAAAATGTGGAGAAAGAAAGGAATGGATTTTAAAATAAAAATGAAAGTTTGAAAAGAAACAGGATATTTGCATAATTTTCAAAGTATCTCCCCCCCCCCAAAAAAAATATTCATTGACTAAAAAGGAGAGATAAAGGAAGATAATTTACAGTGGAGAAACCCAACAGGCACTACTCTTTCCTTTCAAAATGAGAGAGTTAACATGTTTCTGAATTTTAAGCTGTCCTTAAAGTCCTGACTTTCAGCCTATGGTAGCTGATTGTTTTCTAAGACATTAGAGACAGACAGGAGAATGTGTGCAGGAACCAGGGCGACCTGTGTTAGAATTATAAGTGTGTCACTTGGGAGCTCCAAGGTACCAGGCAAATCACATCATCCCTAAGAGCCTCAGACTAGCTGTCTTAAACCTGAAGAAGTAAGGCCATTCTCAAAGGTTCCCTTGTCAACATTCAATCAAATACTGTAAGAGCTCTTATTTTCTTGTGTCCTCCCGATAGCATTAAGGAGTGTTTGCTAGGTGCCAGTGTGATCAATATGTTACACGTGTTTTGTCAATTCATTTCCACAGCAACTCTCTATGGTGGTACTCTCATTGGTTCCCACATGGAACAAATGAAGATAACGAGGGTTAGATAATTTAAGTAACTCCCCCATGTTTTGAGGACAACTCGGAAAACAATCAAATTAAAAACAAACTAAAACCTTAAACTTTTATCTACTGCAGTTTGATTCCAGAGCTTTGTGGTCATCATTAGCACTAAGACAATACATAATAGGTGTTGAACGAATGTTCACTGTTGAGTATAGGGTAGTGATTGAGAACATGGGACTCTAGAGAAAGAATGGCTGGGTTTGCCTCCTGGCTCTGGCCCTGGCCGTATCTCTGGGCTCAGTTTCTTCCTTTGAAAGAAGGGTAGTGGAAGGAGTACCAACAAATAGGGCCGTTGTGAGAATTAAATGAGTTAATAATGTATTAAGAGCCACTTAGAACAGCCTAGTATGTATTATATAGTAAGTATATATCACATTACTTTCTATGTTTTTATTTTTGCATTCATTCACATACTTATTCATTCCTATTTCTCTTTAGTAATGACCAGATGAAATGAATCCAATGACAATAAGAATTTAATAATTACCTGAAGTATTCTTCAGTGTTATTGGCCAAATATTTCTGACTCTCAGCCTTCTGGAGACATTCTGGGACCCTACTTTCTGATCAACTTTGCAGTAGCAAAGGGGGTACATGACTAATTCTAGCCACTAACATGCTGGTAAAGCTTTGAAATTTAACATTTAATTGCCAATAAAATACTTCTTTTCTGCCTGTGGTCTACTAACTGCCTGCTTAATTTGCCTGGGATCCTGAGTGCATACAATGGATTGACCACCTCCCCCCCTGCCAACTTGCTTAAGAAACAGGGAATTAGTAGAAGTTAAAAGAAAAACCTTTTTATTTCAAGCCATTGAAGTTTAGGGGTTCTTTGAGCATCCTAACCAAACCCCCTTCACTGGATCCTTGCCTCACTGATTGAATTGTTAAACATAGCAGAACGCCTAACCTGAACGATACATTTAACAACAACAACAGAAAAATAATTCTCATCATAAGAAAGCAGTATTGCTAAAAGTTGCTGCAGCATAGATAAAAGCTCAATCTGTGCCTTATACTTTAAAAGACCACATTCATTTACGTTGCAATGCTCATTTGAAAAGCATAAATGTGTAGCAGTATGAATTTAGGGACAAATATGTAAACTAAGCTTTCACACAGTTTGTACTGAATTTTAAGGAATATAAATAGTACAAAATAATGCAAGAATTCAGAGGCTCAGGAAGCCAATGTATGTAAGCACAACTTTAAAAACATACCTGAACCCCAACAATCAGCCCTGAGCCTCCAGGAGTCAGAATCTTGCGTGGTGTTTGATATTTTTCCCATCTATTCTACTTCATATCTGCATAAAGTCATTGACACTGGAAAGGCAAAATGCAGGTTTCAAACAACTTTAATGTTTTGAAATACATAAGTGCTAAACTCTTAATAATAAAAGTATATATTTATATTTTCAGCTATAGCATATTATTTGAACTTAAGATATTGCTCAAATCTAGTGAATCAACATATACCTTCTTTTTTTTTTTTTTTTTTTTTACTGCTGTCACACACACATACATAAGTAGGCTTCTTGGTTTTTATGGTTTTAGATTAATATAGAAAAATATTTCTGTCCCATTAATCAATCACATTATATTATCAATATATTTGTTGCTAGCTTTAGAACTTATTAAATATTTATTTTAAAAATAACTAAGTTAACTTTGCCCTCAGTCCAAAATTGCTTTCTAATAGAAATCTCTATATGCTGTAATGGCCCAGCCCAGTAATACTTTTTTTAAAGAATATGGTGAAATACTGAACTCTCTTAATTGAGGCTATGGATACAGCTGTAAGAAATTATATACTAACACCTATGAGCTTCCTATCAGATCAGTTATGTGGAAACAAAATGAAAGCTACTTTACTGCAGGCATATAAAAGCCATATAAAAACCATATACCAGTAGGGGATTAGAGGTCTGTAAATGAGGAATCCAACTTCATCCAATGTAGAACATAAATCATATTTATTTTTTGGAACATCATATGAGCCTGGGGAGTTCTTTCTGATTCCAAGCTAAATCTTTTTAGTATGACTTTCCAAAAATCCTGTCTGAACTATTCTTGAATTCACTAGATCCATAAAAGGTAATAGCGCCACACTTCAAGTCAGAAAACTTGAATCCTATTTCTAGATCTATCATTAATTAGTTGAATAGCCATAAGCTTGTTAAAACCTCTCAGGACTTAGTTTCTTTCTCTATAAAATAAGAGTTTTGGATTAGATAATTGCTAAGGGCACATCAAGCTCCAAAGCTGTAAAATTTTGTTGCAGCTTCTTTTGTTGCAGCTTCTCCAATTTTATGTACAAGTACCTTTACTCTGAACTCTGCTACTTTTCCTTCATGATTAGCCTTCTCTTTCCATTAGATGTAGGTTTGATTCAATGTCCTCTTGATCAGAGTTCTTGCATTAAAATGTTGTATGCACATAATGAGTGAGATGTGCACCATCTGGGGGATGGTCATGATGGAGACTCAGACTTTTGGGGGGAGGGGGGGAATAGGCATTTATTGAAACCTTAAAATCTGTACCCCCATAATATGCCAAAATAAAAAAAAATTATTAAAAAAAAATGTTGTATGCAGAAGGCATTTTGTCAAGCCTAACTGAGGAAGATGATTGTTTTAAAATCATACTTACCATGAACTGATTAGCTGATCAGTAAAAACAGATCCTTCGGCTTATACTGAAGCTCCACATTCCATTGTAGACTTGAGTCAGCCATTCAGAAGGGGAAGAGCAGGACCTGAACAAGGCAAAGGAGAAAACTGAGATATGACTATGACAGTCTCTTAGTTACATGTTCTCTAGGGAGAAGAAAACCAAAGTTGAGATCAGAAACACACAGCAAATATTTTATTATGTGTTGCACATATACATAGTTGATTTTAATGTCATAGAATGCACATAATTCTCAATTTGTTGCTTTGTTTGAGTTTTCTTAATTAATCATTGTATTCTTCATTCTGTTTGCACATTTGTCATGTCCAATATCTCCTCTCCAGTTCCTGCCACTCCCAAAATTTAGTCCATCAGCAATTCTTGTTCAAACTGCAAAGAGGCTATCCTATTCTAATTGTTATTCTTCCTTTCTAGCTATCCTCCACATTGTTGGCTTTCACAAGACTAAAAACAACACTATCATGTCATCTTCGAGATTAAAACTTTTTAAAAAATATTCTTAGTTAAGACATATATAAACTACCTATAAAGCAGCTTCTGCCCACCTTTTCATCTCCATTTTTAAAAAATATTATACTTAGTACTCTCACCTCCACCTGTGGTCCTGTCATACTGAATTATGTGAATCCCCATCCTTCCCCTCAACATGCTTGGATGATTGACTTGCATGAGTCTTGGTCAAGCTGTTGCCTCTGCCTGGAATGCTCTCCCTTCCTGTGCACATCTGTTGTTCAGGACTGACCTATGAATATCTTTTGATATGAAGCATTTTCTCTTTATCTGAAATTTTTACTTCCTCCTTTATAACCAATGTTATAGAAAACTTAGATTCATCATAACACTTTTATTTTTATAACACATGTTTATCATTCCTGTTCTATAATTCCCAGAGATTAAAAAGAATATTTTTGAAAACATCTTTTCACATTCTCAGCACCCAAGAAAACATCTGGCACATATTAAAGTCTCAACATACTTGAATGAATTTATTGAGTATATTGGAAATCATAAATTAAATACTCAGTGCAAATTTGGGAAAGATGGGGCTATAAATCGAATTATCCACTCAAAGAGGTTGAATTCGGAAAGTGTAATCATACTGTTATTCCTAACCACACATTTTCTTATAAATAGCTCCAAGTTAGACTAACTGTAAAACAGGTGCACCGAGGTAACTTTAATAAGGATAAATATTATAGTGTTGGGCTGCAGAAAACGATACCCCAAAATATGGCATTTGGGCATACTGAATGCTTTGAATTAAGGAAAATCGAAAGGCCTCAAAAATAAGCCTCAGTACTAAGGTCTCCCTTTTACCTTCCCCCACCTCACCCCCTGGCTCTCTGATTCTCTTTCTTTCCTGCAGCACCAACAGAGACTCTCTCTGGAATTATTTTAGCTGACTAGGGAAACTTCTTTCTTAAAAAATGCAATTGTCTTAAGGCCCCATTCTTAGGAATTTCATCAAATAACGAGGACACAGTAACCACTAGAGAAGAGAAGACACCTGGGTTCCCATCACATCCAGGTAAATTTTTCATCTGTCTTCAGAGGGCAGCTCTAAGACATTTTCTGGGAAGCTTTGTCTGCATAATAAAACCATCTTTGCTCACAGTGAAGTACCACCTCTCACCTTACCATCACCTCCCCCAGAGCTCAGAGGAAGTATGTCCCAGGCTATGGATATTTGCTCATTCATGTCTCTTATAATCATTTATTTCCATAACCTCTGTCTCCTCTTCTTCTATGAAAAGGGTATATAAGCATCTAGACTTCATTCGGTTATTGAGTAATCATTCTTCCATGATTCCCCTTGTGCTTATGCACTTCAAAAAAATTCGGCATGCCTTTTTCTTCTAGTAGTCTTCCCTTGTCAATTCATTCTCAGCAAACACTCAGTGGGTGAAGAATAAGCTTTCTCTGTGTCCCTGTAGTAGGAACAATAAGACATGTGCAATTCGTATTGAAGAGAGCCTGAGACCTGCAATGAGAAATAATATTCAAAATGTTTTTATACTTAATGTCTGTGTGTTCTTGTGTCAGGTTTTGGGGTCTAAATGTCAGTTTTTGGTGTTCTCATGGTCAAAGAAAGACCAGATGCACCAAAGTAACACAAGCACAAAAATGAGGTTTATTGATGCGAGAAAGACATGATTATGGAGCAAGAACAAGACATAGGTTTACAGAGCAAGATACATACACCACAGATAATGACTGGACCCACTGTAGCAAAATGGGCAAAAGGAGACCTGGTTATGGTCTTCGTCTTATTTTATAGTGCCCAGATGGGACCTCCGTCGTGGCTGAGACATTACTGTGGAATCACTTTGATTGGAGAGTTGGGAGTTATATGACCTGATACCTACCGCACATGTGGATCTCCCATGAGCCTCTCTGAAGGCCAGTTGTTCTAGGTCATGTTCCAGACTCTGTCATACCTATGCTGCTTGGCTTATGGGCTAGAGAGTTGTCTGCATTCTTTTGCAGTTGGCACGCTAAGTTCTGATTGGCAGATTTGAAGGATATTCTCCCCCAGGTATGGCAGTCACTTGGGACAGGATTAAGGTGGGTGGGACAGGACAAAGAAGGGTGCCTGGGGCCCATCCTTGTCCTTCTTCCCAGGTGGGACAATTGCACAAAGACAAGGCACCCTCTTTCATCCCTAGGACACCCAGAATCCCTTACTATCTACCCAACACCTAGATAAATTATAAATTCAAGGAGTTTTAGTCTCTTCCACCATGTTCTAATAATATCCAAATGGTAATAATGTGAAATTTTGAAAAGATAACTCTAAAATACTTAATTACTAAAAAATAGTAAATGCCATTTGTAAATATAAATGTAACAAATTAGAATATAATCTGTGTGCTAAATAAGAAATAGAATGTCAAAGAGAGAGAATAGTTGAATTAATAATATAAAATTAGTTTTGCTTATCATTCATCCTTTCTCTACATGTTATTTTTTTTTCCTTCTTGCATTCTTTCTATCAATTCCACAAAAAGGCTGATTTCTCTGGGAACATACTTGTACTTACCTTTATAATTATGTATTAATTCAAATGAATAACCATTTGAATAAATATGAAGAGGTCAATAAGATTATAGACTCCTGAGGGGGTGGAGCAAGAGGGCGGATGGATAACACCGTCAGACAGAGCGTCTCTGCAGAAAAGACAGATTCTAGCAGAAATTAGAGGAAAGAAGCAAGAAGACCAGCATACAGCGGATGAGGGCCGGAAGGAGGGGTACCTGAGACCCCGGGAGACTCCACGGGAGGAGGCTGCGGAGGAGAACTGGAGGTTGAGACCACCGGAGCAGCCCGGAGACCAGCGGCAAGGGTAGGTGGATTTGCTGTTTCCCCTCCACAGCATTTGGGACTGCTGGTGGGCTCCCCAGCCAGTGGAGAGACCTGCGGACACCAGCCCAGAGACCACCGCCGCCAGCCAGCGGTGAGCCTGTAGCAGACTTGGCACCAGGTTCCCAACTTCCTCCGGGCACCTCCATGTGCACAGACCCGAGCTGTGCGGCAGGCGCCATATTGCCTCCACCTCCCCTCCACCGACCCTACCTGCAGCTGCCCAGAGACAATACAGCTACCAGCCGGAGGTACCTCCAGAGAATGGGACCTTCCCTTTTGGGACCCTACAGCTGACTCAAGGGAACTCAGACTGTGAGCTCCCTACCCGCCCGCCCTCCCAAGTGCTGCTGGCACAGTGTTCCCAGAAGAACGGTGCAGACTCAGAGGCTGAGAGACATAGACCCAGCTTGGGCTCCCTGGGGGTGAATTGGGACTGGAAATCCTCTCCCTGGTGGGGATACAGTTTGAACTCTGGGACCCAGAGGTCAGACCTGCAGACCAGATCCCCTGCACTGAGGGCTAGCATTGCCCGGGGCACAGAAGTGTTATACATGAACAGCCTACTGAGGTGCGTGTGCCTCCAGGGGCGGATCGGCGTCCTAGAGGGCAACCTTCCTCCCAGGAGGAGGCCATGCGCCCAACTCAGGTGGTGTTCCTGTGCAGGGAACCTCCCCGCCGGCATCACAGTCCGGGGAGGCCTGGTGGCTTATGGTCTGTCCTGCTGGCAGAGGCCCAGGAGTAGCTGCGGAGTTGGGGAGGGTGGAAAGAAGCGAGGCCTGCTCCAGACTGCGGGTTTGAGACAGCCCCACCCCCACACCCAGACTTTCTGGATGAGCGGGACCATTCCAGCCCCCCCTGACAGCTTTCCCTGGAAGCATAGACCTGACCTTTGACCCCTGCTAACTGCCTGAGGGCAGGCTTACCCAACCCAGCTCCACCCAGAACAAGAGCTGATAACAGGACACAAAATCAACATCATAGCCTGTTCCGCCAAGCAAACGCCACCTACTGACAGGGACAGCATCTTGCACAGCCCTTCCACAGCACCCACTGACTCAATATACAGGGAGTGGTCCAATTTCACCCACAGACACCACCTAATGCCTCAGAAACTAAACAAGGTGTGTGAATACCCAAACAATAACTTAAGGAAAGAAACAACAACTGATCGACATGGGAAGAAATCAGCGAAAGAACGGCACATCAAGCTCCAAAGCTGTAAAATTTTGTTGCAGCTTCTTTTGTTGCAGCTTCTCCAATTTTATGTACAAGTACCTTTACTCTGAACTCTGCTACTTTTCCTTCATGATTAGCCTTCTCTTTCCATTAGATGTAGGTTTGATTCAATGTCCTCTTGATCAGAGTTCTTGCATTAAAATGTTGTATGCACATAATGAGTGAGATGTGCACCATCTGGGGGATGGTCATGATGGAGACTCAGACTCTTGGGGGGAGTGGGGGAAATGGGCATTTATTGAAACCTTGGAATCTGTACCCCCATAATATGCCGAAATGGAAAAAAAAAAGATTATAGACTCCTAAAAATTAAAGCAAGTCATAGATTTATTTTATCTGTGAGGTATGTCATCTGGAAGATCAGTAACATGGCTAAATACTAGAAAGGAGAGCTTTATTGGTGACAACAGTTTACCAGTTGGGAAGAGATCATCTCTGGTGTGGACTGAAGGTGTTCTCTTTGAGGAGGGAAGATCCAGATTGGGTTTTTATGCCTCACAGGATCAGGATTACAATATAGAATCACAAATATTCAACAGGTTTGGGGAAAAGCTATACATATTTATGAGACAAGCTGAGCATATGTGCAATGGGTAAGCATACATGTGACGGACATACATCCTATGTTCTCTTTGACATGAGATTTTAGCATTGAAATGTGGTAGAATTTGGCTCTTTACCCCAAAATGTGAACTACAGGGCATAAAGACAGTTTGAGCTCACCCTCTCTGAGCTGTTTGAAACTGCTTTAGGTTCTGCAGTTGCTTGTCTAAGGAGAATGCTTGTAAGGCTGGTCCTCTGTCCAGTCAGAGTTCTAGTAGTCTGGGTTGTAAATCAGAGTTTAGATTATTTGCCTCATGGCCACTATTGTTAGAAAGTTTGGCAACGGTGTGTTTTTTCTTGTAGACATGGGAATTTAGAAATTAGCCATGCCAGCTGGGCCCTGAATCCTGCACCAATACTTAACTTTTGTTTCCTTAACTTTAGGGTCCATCTTAGTTAATCAAGGAGTGTCTATTTTGGTATGCCAGATCATAGGGACAAGTGTCACAGCTTCTGACATTTAATAGATGTCCAATAATTATTTATTGTCAAAAATTATTTTAAAATCTCTTTAATGGTAAAAAAAAGTCTGAATAGAAACTAATTTATCAGTTTGTAACTACATTTCATGGTAGATTATGTCTCTTCAAAGTCTATAGGGATAATTTTTCCATAATTCTTTGAGTATATATTTCCAATGAGACATTTTTTTCCCATTATGTGAAGGGATTACTTATTATCATTGCACATCCAAACCAAATAGCCTGTATTCTATTTCTGCAATTATACATATGGAAAGAGAGTCATTATTTTGAGTGAATTAAGGATTAATTAACTTTACATCCCCTGAAGGCCACCAATTTGGAAATTCTCCGTAATTGGAATTTGTGGATACTAATAAGCTCATTTTCCTTAAGCAAAAAATCAAATCATTAAATGATAAACAAATGTGACATATCCTAAGTCACCTATCTCCTTGTTGCATTTTTGTATTTATAAAATAGCAAAATTTTATTTTCAGAGATAAATTTAATCATGACTAACTGCATTAAAAATATCTGAGACATAATATTATTTGATCATAATAGAAAATTAGATTCTTAAAATCTGTTTTTGGCTCTGTTATAAATTCACTCAATGACCCTGCCCAAGTCACCTGTAACCTTGTTCTGTGTGTGTCCTTTCATTAGTGAATTGGAAAGCAAAGGCATGCTGCTTATCAGAGCCATGGTTAGAATACATTAGCATTTGGAGCAGGCTTTTAGATCTCTCTTCTAGAATGTTTTTAGTGTGCAAAAATGTCACTATTATGGCCAAAATATCTTTTCATTCCTGTAGACTCTGCATCTTGATTTTGTATTATATTTTTATTGCCATGGTGACTTGTTTTACTATATTTAAAAATTTTTAGGTAAAAAATTACTTTTTGTCTATTCTTTATTAGTTGTGTAAACTTATTTTTCTGATAATGCACAATTCTGTCTTTAGTTGGGGGAAGTGAAGAAACTCAGTCTTGACACTATTGACATTCAGGACTGGACGGATGATTCTTTGTTATAAATTGGTGGTCCTGGGGTCTGAGAATGTTCCATAGCATCCCTGGTCTCTAGCTGCAGATGCCAACATCACCCCCACCCCGAATTATGGCAATGAGAAATGTCTCCAGATCTTGCCAGATGTCATCTGGAGTATTCGATAACTATTTCAGTTTTATTTACATATTCTATGTTTTTAGATAAGATCATATTCAGTATTTTTAAGCTTTTTATTGAAATTTCAAATAAATTTATGAACATATGTAGTGGCCAAAGCAAAGCTTTCCCTCACCCTCTGATGGTT